TTTTTAGGTCACCTTGAAAACCAGGAGATAACCAGGTGAACCCCTGACTGACTTTCTAAAGGTTGCACAGCACATCCTTCTACATTACAAGCAGAGACCAACAGTCATTAATACCTAATCCTCTAACCACTGAGAACAGACTCAGGATACTCAAGTAGTACATATATAGTATTCATTTATAGATGTGTGCAGTATATAGAGACATTTGACACATGAGAAGAAAGCTGACCAATATTAGCATGGTTGGGAGTTATCCACTTTGTGATGGAGCTGTCCACAGGAAAATAAGCTAGATTTTGGAATATTTAAAAAAATTGGAAGAAGAGAAGAGTAAGAGAATGAATCTCTGGTCTAGATTTCTTCATTCACCTCAGGAAAAGCAGTAAATTTCAGATACAAAAACTGACAGTTGTTTGGTGTTCATTTTAAAAGCACATGTATTTTAAAGTGTCATAATAAGTATTTTAAAGTTCTCCATGATATTACAACTTACAGAATCAAGTCTTGCATTTCCCCAGCCACTGTTTCATGCATCTCAACATACCCCAAATAGTTCAAGCTGGTTTAAAATTTGGCTAACGGGTCTAAACTCTGCACAGTATAACATATAACGCGTTGTTGCCGAAATGCCTCTTTGTTTTTCTTCATGATCTAGTAAGATACTATCACAACAGATGTCTCTGGAGTAGAGACAGTGCATGCTGGGTGGTGGTAGGAAGGTTTTCTCCTGAGGAAATGTCACCAGCATTCAAAGAAAATTTTCACCTGTTCAGAATGAAAGTTTGATTTCCCCCGTTTGCTTAAATTTAGCATCATGCTGGTAGTTATTGAGAAGAAGCCAGTCCAAATAAGATCATTTGTTGTTTGTTGTAAATCACGATATGGAAGACCTCATCAAAATGGAAGAGAGGAGAAAGAAAATTTCTGAGAACAACAGAATTACAGTAACATTAGCAGATAAGACTAACATTTCCATTTGAAACTTCAGGTGAAAAGTGAATCCTCAATTTCTCTTTGCTGGTGTTTATCAAAAGACAATTATAATTTTTTGCTATAAATATCTAACTTAATGCAATTTTGCATAACTACAGAATCCATACCCTTCCTCCTTTCCTGGCTGCCAATGCTCATGTCACACTAAGTTAGGATTCTCCCATCTCAAGCCTTTCTTTGGTTAAATTTCCTTTATTTTCCAACTTACGCTACTCTTCCAATGATAGGAAATAATTTTCAATTAGTCATTCAGAAGCCAAGGTCACCTTGAGCAAATTCTACTCTCAACCAAAGACAAAATGGAAGTGCAGAACAGCAAGAGTTGGCAGTAGACGGACAATAAGGCAATACCGAGTGGCACGTTCTGAAGTGTAATTACCTCTGAGAAGTATAAAACATGGGGAGAAAAAATTCAGTGGTATTATTTTGACAGAGTCAAAGACAGTGGTTATTGTGACTTTTAGTAATTATTGTTATTTAACAAGTTACAACTATTGAGATATTTAATGTTACAGCTTCTTTATTATTTATCAATTTATTATTCTTGAGTTGCAATCCATCTGCTAGATTACTGCAAAAGAGGTTATCGATATAGCATATATCATAGAAATATAGCCATTCTAGGAAAGAGAGCTCAGGACCAACAGAAGGGGACGCCCGCTCAGGCTGTGGCACACAGCTCAGCTCCGTGCCAGCTGTCCAGCGTTCAGAGCATCTGTCTATCGCAAAGGCAAGGCCCGTTTCTAGCCTTTGATCACAAGCGTTCGAACTGCAGATCCACCATTATTCCAGCTTTTGTCTGAGGGGCTGCTGCTCTGGGAGGGCAAGCTGTCGACCTGCCTGGTGCCTGCTCAAACTGAATCAAGCAGAGTCGAACAAGCACCAGACAGGCACGAGTATGGGAAGAATCACTACAGCTTATTAGTAGAGCTTTATGAGTTAGAGAAGAAAGGAAAAAAAAAAAAAAAGTTAATTTCCACTTCATCTCTTGATTCAGATGGTTTTCTCTTAATGAAACAAAAAAAAAGAGAGAGAGAGAGAGAAAGAGTTTTTTAAAGTTTTGCATATGAATGGTATCTAGAAATGCTAGGAAAGTCCCTAATACCTGGCATTTTTTGTGGGGGATTTTAAAACATCCCACTGTCAGAAGATTTTTTTGAAGTGCCTCTTCTACATAAATGCATTTTCCAGCTGCAAGAAAGGAATTTATTGCTTCTTGACTTTGTTAAATAGCTTTTGTTTGACTCCTGTTTGTCACAGGGCAAAGACAAAAGGCAACCATCAACCCTTAGAGTTCTCGAATTCTGTTGGGCAGTGGTAAGCTGGGACTAAACACTCCTCAAGCTTTGTAGCTTCAGATAGCCTGTAGATACCAGCGAGCGCTATGGTCCTCATATACTAGCTATTGATGTGGAAGGTGGGACCTTGTTTTACCAGCAAAAAAAACCAGCAGCAGCAAGCAGAAGCCAACAGGCATTAACTGAGGAATTAATAAGCACATCAGTGGATTTACACCAGTCAGGTTTCTCACCACAGCTTTCATCCCAAGCCTTATTAAAACCAGGACTTTTTTTCCTCTAATCCAGGTGCAGATAGATGAGACAGGCTTAGCAATACAACTGACTCCAGCTGAAACAAGGCAGGCCTGTTCTCCTCCCTTCCCAGCCAACCTCTCCTGACTTCACGTGCACTAGTCCCTTACAATAAACTCATTCTTTGCCATGCAGTTTCAGTCCACCGAGGAGCAGAAAACCCGTTCAGCCAAAAAGCACGAGTGGTCTCCATCCCAGTTAGCAATCCGGATTGGCTCCCTAAGGAGTCAGACAGGCACCAGACTGGCACGAGACAAGGGCTGGCACCACACAGCCAGGAGCATGGCCATTCTTTGCTGCAATTCATTTTCTCTAGCTGTTGCTTTTGGACCCTACCTTTACCTTACTTCCACATGAAGCTCCATTCCACTCCTCATCTTTTGCAGAAGATCATAGCCATTTCCCACATTCCTGTATTCCCTTCCCAAAGTTACATCCTGACACTATGCAGAGACAGCTTGGGAATGTGCTCAATAAAGGGGACTACAGATATATTCCCAGACCTGAAGTTCAGTTGTGCTGAAGGAAGTGTGCAGAGAGGACATAGTTATTACCCTTATAGCCAAGAAGCTGGCAGGGAGAAACGAGTAACACGGTAGATCTGTGGCACTGTCATTTGACACGGAAATCAGCAGCGTCTCCTTAATGTTAACCCCCCCGCCCCTCACTCACTGCCCAGCAAGGAGCAGGCAGGGAGGGGGTGCTTAGCATTTCATCTGAGCCGTAGTCTGTCCTGGGGTAGCGTTACTCACCTCTTCTTTTTTTCCAGCAAAAATCCCAAAATCACAGTCTAGTCCATAACTCCCATTCCTCAGGGTAATTGATACAGATGATGGCTGGAGTAAAGCACCACCCTGAACTGCTTTTAAAGAGATCAAGGGAGGCACAGCACTGGGACTACTTTGGGCGTGCACTGCTTGCACTGTGGGACATGTACTTTATTTGTCCTCAGAAGACTTCAGAAACCCTAGAAACGTTAGAAAGCTTAGTTTCATTGGCAACAATACCATGGCAGTCAAAGCTTCTCTAGAACATTTTGTACATCAGTTATTTAGTTTTAAGAGTCCTATGTTTTTCACCTTAGTCTGTACCTGGAACCAGAGTATAACCAACAGCATGGTTTTTAACACCAAGCAGCTCAAACCAAGTCTCCACGACTAAAATTACCATTTTTAATATAATATTTCTTTACCTTGTAATTGAAATCAAAACATATTATGAAAAAAATCTTTCAGATTATTTAGATTTCATGCAAAAGCACCAAGGAAATGACTCAGTTTTGTCCATATAGTAAGAAGTGTTAGAAATATATGTTCACTGTCATAGTAATAGTTGGAATATAGAAGCAATATGTTCACATTTCTATCAGATGTGTTCACACCCTTGGTTCTAATACAACAATTGGCATGAGATAGCAAAGGAAAATACAGCATCATTTTAAGTATGTATAAACTTATTGTGCCACTTTCAGAGAAAGCAAGAATAAATGAGGTTCTGAGTGGCAGCAAAATATGATGAGAATAAAAACTAATCAGAAAGAGGTGAAAACAGAACAAGTCCAAAAGTGGAAACCATACAGGAAAAGAAATTAACCGGATTAATTCTAATGAATGGCTGAAAACTGTATGAGCACTGAATAAAGGGCATCTGAATGAATGATCCATGAATACTGAATAAAAGGCATGAAGGATATTGACAAACATTGAACAAATACATCACCATGAAAGATGGTGCTTGAGAGTCCTCAATCATTCCAATTTGATAAATACGGCACAAACCAATATTTGTTCAAATTGTGCCTAGTCCTCAGTCATGCATCAGCAATTCTGCACCTTATTTATGGTGGTGTAAAAATAGAGACAATTTTTGGTTCTTTGGCTTGGGACAAGAGTTGCTTCTTCCTTCATCTTAGGCACATTTTTTGTTGAAGGAGAAAAACTGTTGCTAGGCATTAAAATTTAAGTCTTCTGTTTCATGCTGAGGAGGCTTTTCTGCTTGCATTGTTACCATATTGATATGCTTACAATTTTTTGTTGGCAGAAATGCTACATGCTAACAGCAACATCCTATTGAAAATGGAAGACATGATAAAATCATGCACAGAATAGGCTGACAGGAAAGCCCTTTCAAAACAGCTGTGTTAGCAGTGGAGCAATTTGATCTTGAAATGATGTACGTCTCGGAGTTATATCTTTATAATCTCTGCAGAACATTGTTAAGAATATTTTATGACAATGGCACTAAGTGATGCTGCACTGCAAGGCTGAACCAGCACTAACAAAGGTCGAGAACAGTAGGGGAGTCTTTTCCACCCGCACCAAGCTGTAGCTCATAGACACTGAAGCACATTGTTTGTGATTTCCAGAGGGACGCCCTGAATTCTGCATTTTTAAAAGTTGTATTTACTTGTGCTTGCAGGGCAAATATCATGGTAATCCCATGCATATAGCAGTAATCATCTCAAACTGTTTAAGAGAAGAAAGAAGAATATTGGCTGCAGCTAGCATGCCTGTACAGGTAATGAGTCACATTTCATTAATCTGCTCCATATTAATCTGCTCACATGTTTTTAGGACCAAATCCTGTCCTTTCACTCCACTAGAGTGATTTGTGTGCACTACGGGTTGCCAAATGTAGCCCTTTAAACTCATGTTTTTACTTCATTAGTGGCTCTACTGCTGCAAATATAGCTATAAGCGACTTCTATATCACAGCTAATCTTCAAAGACTTTAAACTGTGGGAAATGCTTTAAAGAGATTATTCTTTGCAAAACAGATGTGTGTATGTTAAATTATGCAATGCATTAATTCATATTAATTATGCAATGCAAAAGACATTCCATCTGATATGTTGCAAAGGCATTGATAGTTTTTATGTTGTTTGAGGAAAGAAACTTTAAAATTAGATATAAAACCTATCTGGGGGAAATTGTTACATGGTTAAAACCCAGACAGAATTTTTAAGTTAAATGTGTTATTTTTAATCACCTGTGGATGTAATACATATTCCTACATGAGTATTGTGACATAGGTCTTTTTCAGAAATTTAATAATCTAGGTTTCAGTTTCTTTAATTTACTAGATGTTTAAAGTTTGCAGTATACCCACACCCTTTCACCTTTTGGATTTCAAAACTTAAAGCAGCATGTATTCCAAATCTGTGGAACTAAACAGATTCGTCTGTTTACACCAGTCTCCAGCTGGTTGAAGACCGGCTTCTGAATTCCCTCTTTATGCTAGAACTTGCAGTACAGTTACTCTCACTCATTATTGCTCACCCACCCTTTATCTGTTCAACGTGTTCCAGGGGCCACTGGAAAAGTCTCTGCAGAACTCCGTGGTTTCAGAACGACAACGAAATGTGGAACACAAAGTGTCAGCCATCAAGAACAGTGCTCAGGTATTCTTTTGTCCTGTTTGCTGTTTATGCAGCCGTGTTTTTCATACAGACATACCTGAACTATCTTTAAGCTGGGTAGCACAAATACTTTAGCTAATAAGCTGTGCCAACCATTTTCCATTATGCTGAGGACCTCAGCCCAGACTAACTACTAGGTTTTTCTAGCTGCTCTGGGTTCAGTGAGAGAGCTACCTATTTTAAAGCTATCACACTCATCCCTATGCGAGTTGCAGGCAGACCACTGAGTGCCGTAAGAACGTACCTACTGTCTCTAAAAAGATGCGAGGTTCAGTAAATGTATTTCTGCAACTTCACCTCTTTTAGTTGGGTCAGCAGTAGCTAGCCTTCGTGACCTCTGAGACGTGTTCAGAAAAGGGCAACAAAGCTGGTGAAGGGTCTGGAGCACAGGCCTTATGAGGAGCGGCTGAGGGAACTGGGGTTGTTTAGCCTGGAGAAGAGGAGGCTGAGGGGAGACCTTATCGCTCTCTACAACTACCTGAAAGGAGGATGTAGTGAGGTGGGTGTTGGTCTCTTCTCCCAAGTAGTTAGCGATAGGACGAGAAGAAATGGGCTTAAGCTGTGCCAGGGGAGGTTTAGGTTGGAAATTAGGAAAAATTTCTTTACGGAAAGGGTGGTCAAGCATTGGAACAGGCTGCCCAGAGAGGTGGTGGAGTCCCCATCCCTGGAAGTGTTCAAAAAATGGGTAGATGTGGCACTCTGGGACATGGTTTAGTCTAGTCTACCCTTGATTGGCTTAGAGTAGACTTGGTAGAGTAGGTTAATGGTTGGACTGGATGATCTTAAAGATCTTTTCCAACCTAAACGATTCTATGATTCTATGATTCTATGTATCAAGATCTTCGTAAAGCTGAAGGCTACGTGACATAATTACATCTTTTGGAGACGTGAAGGGAGAAGAACATTGGGAGCTGATGGTAACAATTCTCCAGGAGTTTCCCATAGCATTGCAGGGCTGAGCTGAGCCATGTCCCATACAGACCTTGAAAGCTCAGTCAGAGAATACCTGCCCGTTCAGTTCAAGGCAGGATACGGATTCAGATTACCAATGGTTTTTTTGTTATCCCAGCCCCACTTTCAGCTTTGCAGCAGTCTCAGTGTAGAAGTTATATTTGAAATACCTGTCCATATGCTGTTCAAGGGCAACACTTTTGGTATACTGGAAAGAGGTCCTAGTAGCATTCTCTCATCAGTGTCTCCCTACATGGGGAAGAAGGGTTAGAGAGATGAAACTGTTAAAAGGGTAAAGCTAGCTTTAGGAGAGTCTGATACTAGCTCTCTATCCATGTACAAAGTTGTTGTAAGAGTTGCAGAGCAAAAGCAGACAAAGCTGCAACCCGGCAGCCTACCATGCTGCTCCTTCTGCCTGTGTGGGGAAGCGCAGCCATCCCTGAAAGACCAGTGAAAATGAGCACGATTTCTAGATACAAGGGGTTTTTCCATAGGTAATTAAGTTGAACACAGAAATCAGCCAGCTCCTTGTGTATGTAATTTCATACCTTACACATATGATTTAAAAGTTTAGTCTCCAAAATAAAGAGGAAATCAAAATGGCTAATTCTGTGTGTCCTAATTTAGCAAACGGGTTTTTGTGTTCTCACAGACACTTAACGTGCATATCTCAGGGAACTAAAAAGGATTGTTTATGAGTTGTTGGCAGAATCAAGCCTTCTTATAAACAGCACAGAAACAGACCTTTGAAGTAAACCAGATTATTTCCTACAGTTTTATTTTCCTTCTTTTGATGTGTTGGGGGTTTTTTTGAATTGTCATTGTTTGGTTACTAGAAAACACCTTCTAAACTTTTTGCAGTACCTATGAAAACAAACCCTTGCAAAAAGCCAAAGCAGCAAAAATGTTTCATTTCTTCATCCAAATTCTTAAACAATCCTCTAAATAAAGTCTCTGAGCTTTGCTCCTGTCTCTGGCTCCACTTTCTTGGCTTTGCACACCCCATTCCAATTTCCATTGAAGTCAATGCAAAATTATGCATTTGCCCTGCTTTAAAGTTCCAAGAAGAGAGTTACATTATCGGCATAATAATTTCAATTTAGCTCAGGCTAAATATAATCATTCATACTTTCCACTACATCATAGAACTAGTAAACAAGAAGTGGTTAAGCTGTATCAACTACTTTTTGACTGTGGGAGAGAGGATAATAGTTGGCTTTCTGAAGAAGTAAAATAAATTTATAGTTATAAATGTGCATTTATAATTCAATCATCTTTTTTAAAGTTTATAAGAGAGTAATCCAGAGTTCCCAGAACTCCTTAGGGCTTTTCGAATGGTAGGAAAGGAAAATACTACATTATGCATTTGTCCATTATAAAATAAATTCCTTTTTATGTCACTGTGAACACCCAAATAATTTTACTTTCTGTTCCCCGGGAAAGATGACTGACCAAGATGTCAAATACTTGGAAGACTTGCAAGAGGAATTTGACTTCAGGTATAAAACAATGCAAAGCTTAGGTAAGAGTTTTTATAATAATATTTAGATTCTCTAGGAAATGGCTGATTCCGCAGCTAGACCCCAGTGTTGGGTTTTTTTGTGTGTTACCCAGATAATACATGTAAATATAAAAATGGATTTTTAGTTTATATGAAGTTATAGTCTTGGAACATAATGACTCTTTTGGGGTTAAGAGGGTAAACATGATCTTGTCAAGCAAGTATAGTTATTTTCTACAGATAAGCTGCATAATGGCATGAAAAGTAGTAATTTTCTTAATTTAAAGAACCTATTTTTCAATTTTCTCACCTTTGACATGGCCCTTCCTTGGCAGGATGTGGAAGAGCCTCTTATTTCCCAGAGCAGAGTTGTGCAAAACTGATTTTTTTTAGCCTCTAACTTGGCTTTCTGTTCTTTTTGATCACAGTGGTGATAACCAACTGGTAAGCACTCTGAATGCATGTTTGACCAGCCTATGACAGTTGAGATCTGCACATGGCAACAGTCCTTGCATGATCTCTTTCAGAAAAGAAACTGAGGTCCACTTGTGTCTGCTCAGATATCTTCATACTACCTCCCTTTGAAAACGCAAAGATATTGGGCTTGAAATGTCCAAATTCTTAAACACGTCAACCCTATATGTTTAAGGCTGGATATGGCCAGGCAATTGGAAGAGATCAAGTTGCCATGGTTTAATGAGTTGTTAGTCGTCAGGCCAATCATAATTATTTGGCCACACGGATGACTGAAGCCTGCCCCACTTGCAAAATAAAACATGCTTATATAAACGACTTTCAGGGCTTAAAATTTCACTGTGTCAACAAATGCTCTTCACCAGCACAGCCAGCCTGCAGTACCTTACAATGTGTGTGAGCAATTGCTGTGGCTGAGCTGACAATCGGTTACTTGCCTGCCTCTGTTGAAACATCTACTCTAACATAATGGGAAGACATCAATCCAGAGCTTAGCAGAGACACAGTTGGCACCAATTTCTTTTTTGAAGGTAGCATGGAAGATGCAAGGAGAGCAAAAGGTGGGGGAAGGTGAGGGCGGGGGAAGAGCTGCATATGAAAGAGCATGGGGCAAGCTTGGGGAAGCTTGCAACTAATGCATGATCCAAAGAAGCAAAAACGTTACGGGGTGTGGCGGGGGAATACCCAGTGATCAGTACTCCTGGCAGCTGAAATCCCCACAACGATGAATGCTTTATCTCTGTTTCAAATGCCTAACCTCCATTCTCTCAGGCAGGCGTGTAATTCACATCAAGGCCAAAGAGCTTCAGTCTAACTGCTGACACCACAAGCACATTTCAGTAGCGTACAGATCAATCATTCATCCAAGCCAGATGTACATAATACACACGAGTATGCACATGAATAAGAAATGTATAGATTTCTAGGTATCATCCCTATGTTTTCTACCTTTTCCTGTTCCACATACACATCTAAAGAGTGGAGTCATATAACCTTATCTTAAACTTGTAAAGTTAGTCCAGTCAAATGAAATACACTATTACATAACCTACTGATGTCTGCAGTTTATTTTTTCACTAGTTCATGCTGCAGTCTGGTAGTGGTTTTTTCCCCTTATAAACACGCACACACACCCATGCACACATTTATACTGATTTTTTTCATCCCCTGCAGAGCAGAGCGACAAAAACAGCGCCCTCATTAAACAGGAAATGTTGGCGTTGCAGGCAATGCTCAATACTTTAGACTACAAGAGAAAGGTTAGTGACATGTTTTGTCAGTTGTGGTTCGTTTGCTTTCTCCCCTTATTCCCACACTGAATACTGAAATGCGTAAGTGTGCCTTTTTAAATTCTCCTCTCAGAAGAACAGATAAATAACATAGGAGTTAAAAATCCACACAAAGTTTGGGTGGGTATGGGTGATTTTGACTAGCAGTTAAGAAATTGGCAGTTAAGTAACAACTCAATCAAGGATATGGTTCTGCACACCTTAGAAGTGAGGTGAGGGCATCACTTCGCAGGACCTCTTATGTACTGTGCTAAATGGATAACTTAGGTGGCAATCTGTAGCTTTTAAAGTAAACAAAAAGTATTCAAAGTAAATGTAATCCAATAATTGCAAAGAAAATAAAACAAATAAACCAAACCCAACAACCCACCAGTGGTACCTTCAGCAACTGAGACTTGCAAATATGACAAATATTCCCCTGACCACTTCTTTGCTGGCACAGAAAACAGTACATTCAGGCAATTTGTTTAAGTCCATGTGCTTTTTACAGATAAAAGCAAGCAAGCAAAAAAAAAGTGCACTGGATATGATACAAAACAAAAGGAGGACTTTTTGACCTTGACAGTATTTGTAAATGTCAACTTCTTGGAGGCGTTACGCCCACAAAGAATGCAACAATCCTCCTTCTCACCCCCAAAAAAAAAGTTTTACTGAGGAAGAGTTCAGAGAAATTCAGGACTAATTTCAAGTACAATGGGTGATTAATCCAGTCACCTCTGAATTAAAGAGACTAAAGCTGTAGGGGCTAAATATGGTTACTTTCAAAGTAATTGAAAGAAATGTAATCAGCACTTTTATGATAATTGCTGAATTTTGTGGCTGTTCCCTGTGGTCAGTTTGTGACACCTTTCCTATTTTACAGGAAGTACTCAGCAAAATAGGGCGTGTGATTCACGAAATCGATATGCTTATGAGCAACATGCTGACTGAAGAGCTGCTAGACTGGAAGAGACGGCAGCAGATTGCCTGCATTGGGGGTCCTCTCCATGGTGGGCTTGATCAGCTCCAGAACTGGTAAACTTGCCTTGAGCTCGTGTTTCCACTGAAAACCACAGGAAGTCTGCTGCACATGAAATGATCTTTCCTTTAGATCAGTTACCTTGCAACAGCAGCAAATTCATTATCAGCTAAGCAAGTAAATAACAAATACAATTTGTTTTGGGCGACAACATTTGCTGTTCAGAATTAATAATATTACAGTGAACTGCTGAGCCTGAGCTGTGGCAGTCGGTCATTTTTTGGTTTGACAGTTGTTCCAGATACATGATACTTACCCTCTTGGGAGTTTTGCTTGAGTAAGAACCATGCTGACTGAGTTTGTCACCGAGGACAGTGGGAGTTTTGTCTAGGCAGGAGCCGGGTAGACACTTTATGCTTTGACTCACTAGGTACATCACTCCTCCAGACTTCAAACTACACAGGAGTTGAATGGCAGTAGTCTCTGGCGGTAACTCTAAAGGTGATTGCAAATAAAAAATTAAAAAAAAAAAAAAAAAAAATTAAAAAGATAATGCAGCCAGAGAATGTCATTGTCCTGGCCATTTCTCTCCCATCACGCTTCTGTTCTGGAGAAGGTGAAGTAAAGAGTAAGAATAAAAAAGGAAGGAAAACAACAAAGAACCTTTTAGGTTTGAAGAAAAAGTATTTTTTGCCTTTTTTGTGTGGGTTTTTTTCCACTGAAGTATTTTTTTTCCAATGAAGATATTAAAAATAGCTAAAAGATGTGATTTTATACACATACACCCTATTAAACTGTTAGCAAGCGTGTTTGGATTTGATTTTCCTTATTGTTTTTACATTTCTGAGAAATGCACTTCCTCAGTCTTTGTAACCTTTTTATTCTATATAAATATTATCCTTTTAAAGGGTACCTTTTGCAAAACCACTAAGCTGTAGGAGACAAATAAAATTGGCACAAGTACCCTGCATGTAAAACATCAGAACTGTGCATATATTTCTTCTAAGTCATCACAGATAGCATTGCATTGCTGTTGATGAGGCCTGTTGCGAAAATATTTATCTTTGAAAATAAAGTAGGAAATTTTGCCTGATATATTTATATACTCCTGTAAACAAAAGATGAATGGCCATGAGTTTGGATAAAGCTAGAAAGCACCAATCGGTAGCGATTCTGATTTCCCTAAGCAAGAACTTCAGTGCCATTATGTTCTAAGCAGCCCTTTACATGAAAGATTGCAAACTAATCTTTGGTCTTGCTGTAGTTTTACACTGTTGGCAGAGAGTCTTTTTCAAGTTAGAAGGCAACTAGAAAAACTGGATGAACTGTTGACCAGACTGACTTACGATGGGGACCCTATCCCAGTGCAAAGACCTCAGCTGCTGGAAAAAGTCAACTTTCTGCTCTACAATCTTTTCCGGAAGTGCGTAAGCCATTGTCAATGTACATAAATTCACCCGAACTGACACAAATTTATTGGCAACAATGAGACCATATTGTTAAGAAGAAAAAAAATCTTAAAAGGTCTCTGAGGATCTTAAAGACAGAGTTTCCAATATAAAAAGTATGTACAGCTGTCACCAAAATTCCTAGAAGCTGAAGGGGCCAGGGAGCTTCTCGTGTGTAGTAGTTACGGGTTTGTGGCCAAGTTCTGACTCCAGGTGAACACATAAAATCCGCTTATTTCAGTAGAGTCATGCACATACTGCTGAGAAAAGCTTGGGGGGTTGGGGGTTGGTTTGTTTGTTTCTTTGTTGGTTTTGTTTTGGTTTGTTTTTTAAAGTGGCAGGTGCTAATTCGTTCCTTGTCTTTCCTCTTCCCCACCAAGACATTCTATTAATATATCGACTATTATCATCATTCCTCTTTGTACTGGCTATACAGCAGACATACCACAAGTGACTATCTGAAAGCAAAACATGATCAATTGTTTTTTTATTAAAAATGAAAAAAAAAAGATTGTTTAATTTGATTGGAGCCAGGCTCAGTGCATTTTCCTACTCTGTTTTATGGTTCTGATAAAAGTCGTGGTCTTCTAGACTTTTATCAGCCCCATATTTTAGGACTATGGAATTTGTTTTGGTTTGATTTTTAATGTATTCCAAATATCTGTTTCTTATGGGAACAATTCAACTGTAAGTTAGACCCCTGGATCATTTTGAGAACTGAGCGTTGGAATACATACCTCCCGCTTCAGCAACAGTAGAGAAATAAATCTCTAAGAGATGACAGCTCTTTTTTTTCCCTAATACAGCTGTTTGTTTATGCATATTCCTAACAATCTATTTGTTTCACTTCTTTTCACACAGTTCATTCGTGGTTGAAAGGCAGCCCTGCATGCCAACACATCCCCAGAGGCCAATGGTTCTTAAAACGTTAATACAATTCACTGTTAAATTAAGGTAAGGAAAGGAAATCTGATATAAATTCCTTCATTTGTGTACTGTATTTTATCCTAGGAGACTGTTTCAGAGTCTAGAAAACAAAGCAGACCAACTGGTTTTGACTCCAGGGAGAGTTTTCCGGAATGGGGATATAAAGGCCACAGAATCTGTCACTCGTAATAAGTGGCAATAAAGAGTAAATCAGTGTAAGAAAGAAAGGCAGACTGTGGCCAAAAGTCAGCACCTTCAGGATTCTGTATGCATTGAATTCTCATTTTAATGACTTTGCAAACTGAGTAAATAATGATCCACATCATATAAGCCAACATCAGAATACTCAGAACCACTTTTGCAAGTAGGAAAGAAAAACTTCTGCATTTCGGGGGGCTCTGGTGAACCAATGACAAGCTATCTCTCTCCCACTAGCTCCTTGCTTGACTTTGTGAAAAGAGCAAAGATGGGAGAGGAACTCGCATCTCGTTTCCACCTTGCAGCAAAAAGAAGGCATGGAGGGTTGGGGGATGGAAAGGGTACGTGAAGGACAGTACACATACATCTACAGTGCAGTCACAGATTATACATATCCATCTCTTAATTATTACCTCTTTGTTGTCTCTCTAGCCATTCCCTCAAACACATACTAACTTTTGCACATACTTGCAGGGAGGGTAGAACACCCGCCATTGGAACAGCTCAACCCCTCTTTCTGAGTATACAACCTTGTAAATCATGATATAATCCTAGATGCCTAATCTGTTTTCAGATTATAGTCATTTCAGATACTTTGCTGTGGAGCTACTGGTCTCTAATATTTTCTGGTGAGAAACTTATTCTGTTAATATTCACTTTTACATTTTCTGTTTTGAAGGTTGCTAATTAAATTGCCAGAACTAAACTACCAGATCAGAGTGAAAGCAACTATTGACAAGTAAGAAACTTTAAAGTGAAGATTTTCTCTCTCCCTACAGAGACAACACAGGTTTTTCAATTGCTGTCTGATTTAGAAGTTGCTCTAAAAAGGAAAAACAAAACAAAACAAAACCAAAAAACCCCAAACAGTTAAAACATCAGGGTAATGTTTTTCTTTTTTTAATGTGAAAGACTTCTTTGTCTTTTTTTTAAAAAAAAGCTGCTGTTTCTAATTGTTATTTTCAAATTGGATGCAAGAAGTCCATTTGTTTCAAGACTGAGATTCATCAGTGTGAAATAGTAGCATCACACAAAAACTTTAAATCAAAGTGTATTGCATTTATGGGATAGTTAGCTTTGAAATAGCACTTCTCTCTGCTTGTGTTAATAGGCCCAGTACCTTCAATGCAACCTACCTGCTCCTAGTAGTATACGAAACTGAAAAGCTGGTGCTGTAATTAGTAACTATGGAGCTTAGAGTGTTTTACCCCCGCCTGAAATTAAGACTGCTACATAAATTCCTTCTTTCTAAGGGGTTTGGTACTTTGATATCCATATATCATTCCAATGGCAGGAAAAAAGCTAGATAAAATACACTACTTGCATCTGGACAGATACAAAAGTCTAACTGGACAGTACAAATTTCTGTTCTTTATTTTAAAAATTACAGTTGTATTGGTAATATGAATTAACTTCAACAAGGAAAAAATCTAACGTCTCAAGATAAGTTTCTCAGTGCAAGTATGGCTTCCACATTTACTGATTCACAATCTGTTTCCTCCCCCTGCCCCTCTTCTATTTTAGGAATGTTTCAACTGTAAGGTAAGAAAATAAAATATCAGATTTCTTAATTTATCCAATATGATATTATTTGAGTACATAAGAGTAATGTCCTCCACAGCAATCGTAGATTCGTTCTGTGTGGAACACACGTGAAAGCAATGAACATGGATGAATCCGCAAATGGAAGCCTATCAGTAGAATTTCGACATTTGGTAAGTTTGACTGCTTTTTTTCCTGTCGTGCACCTCTGGTAAAGAAATAAAAGAGTCTTTAAAAACTATGCAGGGAGAACTGTATTACTGTCAAGTCTACGCTCATCTTCTTTTTCCTTATACAGGAAGTTTACTACTAGAACCTCTTTATCCCATTCCCTACTTCGTCCGTTCCATAAAATAAGACTATATATTTTCACAGAAATGACAAAGCAAATCCTAATAATGCGAGAAAAGGAAAAGACTAATCATGCTGAATTACACAGCTTCTCAGAAACTGAGTTTTGTTAAAAAACCCAAAGTGAACAAAGAAACAAAACCAAACCACACCACCATTGTCTAGGGGAAATATATAATTGAATGCTTTAGATCTGGTTGAAATTAATGTCTGTGATAACTGTCTTTTGAGAGACAATAGTACTGCTTCTGTAATTTCTCTAATATCCCAGTGAATCATGCTTTCTGACTAGACTCCCTCACCTACAGTTTGTTTTGTTTGTTTTGTTTTTTTTGCTTAACCACAGATGCAGTGCATCAGTGTAGTTTTGCAAAAGAAGATTGAGCTTGACAGTCTTTAGTGCTTTTTTCTATTATACGCTTCGCAAGCACCCTAATTAACGCTTTGTTACATTGACTTAGTTTCTTTAAAAATTCTTTAAAAATATCAAAAGACTACTCACTGAATAGGCTTTTCAAGGCATAGTGTCAGGGCCTTCATTACAGTGAATCTGTATATTGTAAACCAAACCTTATTATACTAAGAACATCATGGTTACAAGTGACAGTCTTTATATGTACTTCTATCTGTAGATTCTTTGCCACATAAATACTGTTTTGCTTTGTACAGCAACCCAAAGAAATGAAATCAAGTGCTGGAAGCAAAGGAAATGAGGTTTGTGCATTTATTTTACATATTATTTTTGATTACTCTCACAAGTATTTCAGATCAGATCTTAGTTAAATCAAAGAGCAACCATATGCTGTTAGATTTTGAAATATATTATCCTTATATTAAGTATAGGACCAATTATCACATGATAGTATAAGTATAATGAAAACTTTTCAGAAGTAAGTACTCAGAAATTTTAATTACATGCCTCAAATTTGTGTATAAAAAAGTTACAACAGAAAGTAGGAAGAAGTCATCTGAATGTACGCATCCCTCTTTAAGGCCACCTTTTTGGTCATTTACATTTTGAAAAAAATAAGCTTTTTGAGTTTTTTGCTGAAACAATTTTTCCTATAGATACGGTTCTTTAAATACATATTCTGATGGCCAAGTTTACAGCTGAAGTAAGGGTTTAATTATATTTGCGTCAAAGACGTTTGCTTGCCTCAACCAGGACCAAAAGTGTGCTTGGTTTACCGATACTCATCCGAATCTGGTCATAGGTTCCCCTCTTGTGGTGACACTGCACTATGACACGTTAGCCCTAACAAGCCAGCATGTACTTTGCAGCACCCCGATTTCACAGACATAGAATCATAGAATCGTTTAGGTTGGAAAAGACCTTTAAGATCATCCAGTCCAACCATTAACCTAACACTACCAAGTCCACACTAAAGCAATCAAGGGTAGACTAGACTAAACCATGTCCCAGAGTGCCACATCTACCCGTTTTTTGAACACTTCCAGGGATGGGGACTCCACCACCTCTCTGGGCAGCCTGTTCCAATGCTTGACTACCCTTTCCAAGAAGAAATTTTTCCTAATTTCCAACCTAAACCTCCCCTGGCACAGCTTAAGCCCATTTCCTCTCGTCCTATCGCTAACTACTTGGGAGAAGAGACCAACAGCCACCTCACTACAACCTCCTTTCAGGTAGTTGTAGAGAGCGATAAGGTCTCCCCTCAGCCTCCTCTTCTCTAGGCTAAACAACCCCAGTTCCCTCAGCCGCTCCTCATAAAGCCTGTGCTCCAGACCCTTCACCAGCTTTGTTGCCTTTCCCTGAACACGCTCCAGCACCTCATGCACACACCACCTGGCACGTAAGGTGAAAAGGTATTGCAAGTGCTTGCCTCCTAGCAGAGGAGCTTAAAATCTGCACATTCTTGCTTTGCGGAGAACAGAAATCAGAAGTATTAACATCGGCGCTAATCCAACACTGTGCCCCTGCGTTCACCTGTGTCGTAGAGGGCTCCTTCCATTCCTGTGTTACCCTCCAGCACCCCTCACACCCAGACAACCCGTGCTTCTTCCCCTGCCCAGCTCCTCCCCACCTGCACAGCTCTACCCTACGTCCTTCTCCTCAGCTCTGGCTTCCTACAAACCGTGACTCTCCTGGGTGCCCCAGGTGTCACAGTCAAAATCAGAATCACAGGCAAGAAAGTTACTGCCTGCATTCATTCACCTTCTGCATCCCTGGCAGGAGGAGAAAGGAGAACCGCCCCGGCAGGGGAGAAGGTAGGATGTCCTCATCCAGCACCTGGAGGCAGTAGGCAGGAAGGGGAAAGGCACGAGTATACACAAACCTAGGCTGGCCATGGACCATCACCATAAATTTAGCATTGATATTTAGCAGCAAAAATCTGCAGATAAACCTCTGATTGAAGCAAGAGGCAGGAGCTTGCAGCCAATGATACAGCCTCTGCCAACACTACCAGAACAATTAGTGTCTCCCAAGGTAACTGAAGTCATAAGATGCTTCCATGAATGCCACCTACTTACCTAGGAAGTGAAATAACCCATACTGGTTTAAAGTATCTGCACACCTGTGTAACTTTTTTGCACAGTAGAAGCACTGAGGGTAAAATTGTATTGGCAAGTTAAAAAAGAAAAAAAAAATTGCTCACATCACAGCCCAAACAGATGTAGTTATACAAGCACAAAAGCTATTACAAGTAGTCTTTAAGTACAAAGCAAAGGTGTGATCGGCATGGAGAATTTTAACCAAAAACCTAACGCAGAAGATACATGTGCACACTTCACACACTACTTTTGAACGGAGTAACTTGCAACCTGATTAGCAAGACTGAAACTTAAGGCTCGCCTCCCAATTACTTTGCTACTTACAAAGTCATTTGCATCAAGACAAGCAAACGCAAAAATGTAGGTTCTCTACTTTTGGTAGCATTTTACTCCCACTTTCACACGTTGTGCCTTTATAACTATATAAAACATAGGGTTGTGGAGAATTAGGACAGCTGAGCTGTGACATGGTTCACTGCTAACTGATTTCCTCAAACAGAGCTTCTCCTTGGTCAAATCACAGTCTGTGAAGTCATTATTAGTATGAACAATTTTTTTTTTTTTTTATTAACAGCGACTATAATAATTTAAAAACTTGGTTTGTTATAGGACGGTTAGTAAGCTGAGAGCATAGTTGTTAAGTATGACTTGCCTCATAAAATAAAGTGGAAGCTCTCTGTATTTGAGATTTGTTCTTTCATGTAGATATGCTTTTTTGCCTAGATGATTTTTCCATGAGAAAAATTTAAGTTTTTGCAAAATCATAATGGGGGGGGAGGAGAAGGGGAGTTTCACCAACCCTTTTCAACTTTGCATCAGCAATACAGATTGAGCTGGATTGATTCTACCTGTATTAAAACATTTGAGCTCATTTGACGGACGAGTATTTCATGTAAAAGCCTTCAGCTCTAATCTGGATTTTCCCTTTGCAAGGCAGATTTATTATTCAGATGCCTGAGGATCTCCTGTGGTCTTAATTCCTCATTTATACAGTATCTTTTACTGCAGTGGCCTGTACATACCCTGGAGGAGGTGCTCCATGGGAAAGATAAGGCCATGAGGCACTTTCCCAAGGAATAGTTTTATTTTACATTGAGTAAAAGCAGAGTATTTCAGTAAATGGAAGCATTTTGATTTGGGATTTTTTATTTTGTTTCTTTTTTAAAAAGTCTGACAAAACAAATATGTGATGGGGAGGGGAAAAACAACAACAAGAAAAACTAGGAAAAGGACAGATAGTTTTTTTATACTTTGATTTCTGGGTATGGAAATGTATTTTGAAAGATCTGTTTCACAAGGGGCAGAGATTTGGATCTTTACAGAGCTATACTGGTTTGTAAGCAAAACAAAACGCTTGTACTACAAACTTTAATCAACTATGACAAACAGAATTTTTTTTTCCCATCCAAGAAAAGCTTGGGTTTTTTAATACCAGATTTACTTGGGATTAATGATTTAGGCCTCTACTCCATCAACTAGTACCATCTAAGTATACTTACAACAAACCTGTGTTCCCGGATGAGGGCCTACTTGTCATGAAAGCTGTGGCTTTTTGTTTTGTTTCTAGTTTGTTTCTCCTTGAAGTTTAACATCTCTGTTTAAATTGGAATTGTTGATCAGTAAAGAAACTTTAGGAAAAGAAAAGTTGGAAAAAATCTTTATCAGACACAAAAAATAATCTGTTAACTTTTTGTGTGCAAATCTGTGTTTAAAAGCACCATTTTAGAAAAAGTTAAAAACAAAAGTTAAAAGTTTAGAAGTATTGCTTTAGCAATGTCAAGGGGGTTTTTTTAGATTAATCAGATAAAAACACCAGACTTCTGGACTAATTTAATGTCAGATATTAATAAACAAAGTATTTCCTTCACTTCCTTCTTTTCCTGTTCTACTTATCTATTTGATATGTGTTTTCTTTCAAAGTTGTGTAATCTCAGCAGCTGGAAAACTAAAACAGTGTTAAGTGCCAACTGGGCATTCACAGTTTTGTAACCTACTTACTCCCTCAGGGCCCTCACATGGTGACCGAGGAACTGCACTCCATCAGCTTTGAAACACAGGTCTGCCTGTATGGATTGACTATAAATTTGGAAGTGAGTATTCTAGCCAGATTGTCTGGGGCAAGAATAAAAGGCATTTTCCAGCAGCTTATAGAAGAACAGCCGTGTTGGGCCAGACCACAGGTCCGTCTATCCTAGATGCTATCTTCAGCAGTAACCATAAGCAGACACAAGATTTCCAGAACTTCTGGACAGAAGTGTACACTTCGGGAAGGAAGAGAGGGCTAAAAAACCAAAGCATAACACAGCGCTAACACTTTCCTCAGCAGCATTTACATATCACACTCATTCTTTCCACCAGACCAGCTCTTTGCCTGTGGTGATGATTTCCAATGTCAGCCAACTACCCAACGCGTGGGCTTCTATTATTTGGTACAATCTGTCAACCAACGATCCTCAGGTAGGTCTTCAGTATGCAGGTACTGACTTTCTGCATTTTCACATCTCTATTATTTGGTTACCAAATATATTAATTATAAAAAGGCTGTGTTTCCCTCTTAAACTGGTCTTATTTTCTTCACATACCACTGTTATCAACATTCTGCTTTAATGTTGTTTGCTTTGTCTTTTGCTCCCTGCCCAGATATAAAACCATATGCATGCTTAGCCTTCCTTTTTGTAGGCTAAAGTAGTAGTTCTTAAACTAAGGCAAGGTGATAGCCCTTCTCCACAACTTTTCTAGTTTGGATTTGTCTTTTTTCAGATGCGGTTGACCAAACCTGTCCATGGTACAAAATAAACCTACTAGTACAATTCAAAACTGTCAAAGTAGGTGTATAGGTGGGTCTGTAATGGACTTAAGTGCTGCTTTCCCTCATGCATTTTATAGGAGCTAATTCTTTCTAAGGAGAAGACCATAAGTGTCAGGTAGCACCTTCTAGTGGTTCTAACCGTGAGCAAAAGCGGAATCATTCTTCCTCAGGCTCCTGCTGGCTCAAGCACATATTTTAGATTCAGTCACTGTTACTGTGTTTGCAGATCATAGAATAGCTCTCAGGCTTTCAGTCGGGGATTAGTGACGGTCACATAGATGTTCTGAGGAGAGAAAGGGTAAGACAGTTTACCACAGCGTGCCTCTATGAACAATGACAGGCCAGCTGACCAGCATCCTGGACTTCATTATCACTCTGAGATACTCCAAAGAGTTTTTGCACAGTCTTCAGTATGTTCATTACACATACAGTCCAGAAACCAAATGAAAAACTAAGATGAGCCAAACAATACAACAACATGTCACTATATGAGTATGGAACGGTTTAAGATTTCCACGCACCAAACATATTATAGTGAGAATATCTGCATTTATTGGACAGGGTTTAAGTGTCTTTTCACTGTATTAACATACGATACTATCAGAAGCATAGCAAGCTGCTGTCGTGGTTTAGCCCCAGCCAGCAACTAAGCACC